GAGCTCCCACATGGAGTGGCCAGGCTGGATGCGAGCTTCATTGCAGCCAACCCGAGCTCGCATCCACCAACCTGCGAGGTGTTAGAGTGTGAGAAAAAGAGAAAGAGTGCAGCTCCTGGACTAGGTTCGTCAAGTCAGCACAAGTGGAGATCAAAGCATTGTGAAGCTTCTTCAAAAACGGCTCAACATCAACCTGAACTCTGTCCCAACCCATGGCGACTGCGCTGGTGTCCTCTTGTCTGCTTATGGCATCACTGATGTTCTGGTCAGATCGCACATACTGGAAATGGGGATGTATTCGGTGATAGGCCATCATTGCCCAAAAAGCGCTGACAATGAGGTTCACCTTCGGGTCCTTGCCATAACCCTTCTGGAGCGCGCACCGGCCGCTCTGGTTGTCGATGTACACTGTCAGGAAGCGAGGCAGACGCCAGCGCATGAAAGTCACTGCGATCAGCACTGCCAAAACTTCAAGCATGTAGATGTATGCTTTTCTAGTGGTGAACTGCGAAACAAACCAGTTGGGGATAGTTCCAAAACCAAACCAACACCCTGCGGGGGTATGAAGCACAAACCCCCAACCGTTGCTCGAAGCCCGTGTCCTTTGCGGGGACCAATTTCTTGGAATGTGATCAGCACCGACTTTGAAACAGGAGCTGCCCAAAACAAAGAAAGCATCCGTGTAAAGCACTGCGCGCTGAGAGTCACTATCCACAAACGGTATCTCGCGTGGTCTGGCATCGCGCAAGATGAAAAGCAGTGTGATCATTGCTTGGCGCAGGCCATGAGTGAGCTTGTCGTTCACCTTTTCTCCCAGTCCGTGGCCTCTTGCGTAGAGAGGAAGTAGCGCTGCTCGTCCGACAGCACCGAACAGAGTTGTGGTCAGGAATGCCATTTTACCTGCCAGCTGCTGCGCATCATGCGGAGTGAGGGGGTTCTTGTCCAGCGCAGATTGCAGGGCGCACTCAACCTTGCATCTTCGGTCAGGGCAAGCAGCGACTTCTATGTGAGTGTCTGCGATGGAGAGGACAACTCCCAGGACTCGTTGAGAAGCTGCTGGAAGCTGTTCCTTAGATGGCTTCATGTCCAAACCAAGTGCACTGGAAAGGTCTTTGAAGGCCTGACATCCTGCGAGGGCCACATCAGGAAGATCGACCCCCGTGAAATCATCGACGAAATCACCTAGAGGCAGCATCAAGAGTCGTCGAGACAAGGCGACCAACGCATCAGCAAAACGGTTGAAAGCCCAGACTGCTGCAGCGGCTCCAAAGGGCGCCGCTGTGTGGCGCCAAAGGGTCACCCCGGTGTCGACAACCAACAAAGTGTAACAGTATGCATCTGGCCTGACCGGTAGCTGGCGATAGGCCGCATCTAGGTCTTGCCCCCAGATCAAAGGGGTGCCTGAGTCATACCTTTTGAGCCTCTGAAGCAGTCGAACATAAAGATCCAGGTCGTGGTGATGAGGACAATCATCCACAGAGATGGTGGAATTGTGAGAAGACCTTCGAAAATCCTCACATCGCCGAATCTTGTCTGCCTGTTCCACAGCAAAACATAAGGCAGGGTAGACTTCACTGGTAGGCGTCGGAGTGCAGGGGTGCCCGTCGACGCCTACTGTCTGTATCCCCCAAGATGCAGGCGCCGAGAAAGGTCCTTGGACACGACCCTTGGCCTTGTCACGAAGAAGCTCATCAAGCATGGTTTTCCAGTGTGGGCTGTGTTTGGGTTGGCGGAGTTTCTCCTTCACGTAGGCCCTGTTGAGCTCATGGAATTGAGACATGGAGATGGGATGTGAGTATCGCCCATCCCTGCGAGGTAGCCAGCCGCTACCGGAGTGGAGCTGCCCAACCATTGGAAAGCCACATGTGAGGTCCTCCTCCAACTCATCAACGCCTTCGAAGCCACAAATTCTCAGGAGGTGAATGAGAAGTGGCACTTGGGTCACCAACTTTGTGCCATTCGCTGAGTACACTCCTTGGATTTCTGGGGGGAGTTGTCTGAACCAGTGTTGTGTCGTTGGCTGCCAAGCGTCGACCATGCATCTCACTTCCCCCACCACTTCTTGGCGGAGTAGTTGCAAGTCTTGCCAGTGGGCGTGATGCCTGCAAAGCGTCGCTTCCAATCCTGGCTCAAGCTTGCCGGCTGTCTGAGCTGGGTGGGGTGTATGTAAAGCAGTGGTCCAGTGCTCCATCATCGTGGTGGCTGGGTGGAAGGCTGTGCCTGGACTAGGCCACTGCCCGGGGCCGACAACCGCCATGGCGGGACAGCCCAGTGACAAAACCTGGTGGATAGCGGAGCTGCCGGTCAGCATGCCTGCCGCTGGGTGGGCGTGAACTGGCTGCACCTGCAGGACCAAAGCCATGATAAAAGCTCCAACAAGAACGTGCCAACTGTTTGCTAGCATACGGTGACGCGCCTTGTTGGTCACCTTAGAAACCCTGGTATAGTGTGCTGGATAGCTGTGCAGCTGTTCCTTCAACAAGGCTGGCATGGGAACAAGCTGGTCGTTGCGCAAGGCCATGGCGTGCTCGGCATACTGCCATGGAGCGTATTGCCTGTTGTGTTGGAGCCATCGCTGTCTGGTGTCATGGTCCACGCGACCATGACTGTGTTTGGGCGGAGCCCTGCCATGCTCATCAGGGGCTGGTGTGGTGAGGCAAGGCACGCGCCTGCGATGCTGGAGTACATCTGTGTGCAGGGCATGACCATCCATGTCCCAGTGAGTTGTGTCAGTGGCAGGCAAACCCAGGCGCAATCGCCTGTGCTGGTTGTGTTGTGTCCACTGGAGGGGCTGGCCAGTGAAAGGGTGCATTTTTGCTTTAGACCAATCCACTCGGGTCCACCACAGCCTGGGCCTGGAGATCAGGCCGGCGTCGGCCGCGTCGATCAAGACAGGTTGAGATTGCAGCGCTTCACTAAAGTATTTGGTGTCTGAATCATCTGCCATGACGACATTCTCAGCCAACAAGAAAAAGGTGTGTCTTCCCAACGCTGCTTCTAAACCCTGAAGTATTTTGCAAAACGAAGAGAATTTGGAGCCCTCTTCGCCCAGACGTCCCTCTTTCCTGTTCTGGACTTGGGAAAAATCCGGGCAAGGTGCACCGCTTGTAACCAAAATGAACAGGCTGTCCGCGGCAGCCTCATCATTGATGAGCTCAGCCAGCTCGGTGTAGTCATCTTTCAGCGCATCTCCTCTGTGGCGCACGAACGGTGTTCTGACCTTGCTGACTGCGACGCAGTCCGCATCAACCTCCCACGCAAATGCCAGCCGGGGTGTGCCAACCAACTGTTGGACAATCCACGGCGCCGTTCCAACGCCATCAAAAAAGGACAAAATGACCAATCTGCTTGCTGGGACGGGGCAATGGAAATTGACCAAAAGGTTTGAAATGGTAGGGTCGGGTACCAGAGGCTCGGGGTCTCTGGCCCCGAGCTGTCCCTAGCGGGCGGGCGCGGAGTCGTTCGACTCCTGGCTGTCTCTGGACGCTGCCTGGCGGCGGTCATGCCACTGGCTCCACCTCTGTGCGTTCTGCCATGAGTGGGGCTGCCATTGTCGACGGTCTCGGTCATAACGACCCTTGGAATCACCTTTACCTCGATGCCTGTCATGGAATTGGTGGCGGCGGGGTTGAGGGTGGTATCGGATGGCGTTGTCATCGACGCTCTGGGAAAGCTTCCGTTTCAATGGGGGCCTGGGGTCTTTCGGGGTGTCCTTAGACATGTAATCACAAAACAAGTCCACATCACTCATCACTGCTGCCGAGGATTCCCCAAATGTCTTGCCAGCACGCATTCCCATGCAAATCCGCCAAGAAGCGGCTTCCCAATAGGCCTTGAGCTGTTCCAACTTGGCAGGCCGAGCTCTTGCCTTGGCAATGCACCAATCGCACCAAGCATGCACGTGATCTTCTTCACCTATTTGAAGCAAAACATATGCCCACCGAACGGAATTGACCCCGTCCATAATGGCTAGAATAGACCTCGGTTGCCACACCTTCTCATCTTCCTGCACCACCAGGTTGTCCTCTACAGTCAAGTAGTTGGCCTTCTTTGGGGATTTTGCCAAGGGATTGATCTCTCCGCTGGCCTGAAAACTCCGTTAGATGATCTCGCCTAAGAGAACTGGGCTGTACTGACGAGAGACCACGTGCTCATGGTGTATCCTTGCCAGGATACTCTCCGCTCCTAGCAGCTCTTGCTCAGGGAATTTCCTAGGCCGCCCCCCAATAGTGATGGAGTTGTAGTGAGTAACCTGCTGGTTCCAAACTTGAGGCGGCAAGGTCTTGGGGATCTTGTCACTCATGGCAGCAGAAGAAGGCGCGCTCAGGGCGGGCATCACTGCCGGCGCAGCTGGAACAGCCAGGCCAGTGGCCTGTCTGGCTGTCCACCAAATCCTGGCCTCTGCCCACATGTGCAGAAGGACTGCTTGAGCAATAGGTTTCTCTTCCTCAGTCAATTGGATGTCTATGGATCCTTTCTTGAAGCCTTCCAAGAGCGGGCGCACCAAGCTATGTTCTGCCGCCTGCTCAGTTGTGGCCAGCAAGGCTAGGGTTGCGACAGCTTTAATGCCACGAGCCTCCAAGTAGTCTGCGATTTCACTGCCCGCTCCAGCCATGGCTGCCAGCTCAGCCATGGTCATGGGCGCGCTGCTCGAAGATGAGGTCACCATCTCACCAGGTGACTGTTGAGCCCGACCGGCGCTGTGTCAGTGACCCAATTCCAGAAGTCCTCCGAATGATAGCAAAACATGTAGAGTGGGCATGAAAGAAAAAGAGAAAGACGCAAAACAAAACATGAGGCTGCCCATTCTCGACATCTTCTAAAAACAACACATTCCCACAAGGTTCACCAGTCTGCACTGTCCAATGAAAGGTTCTGTTTCGCAAAGTGAATTGTCACCTCCAGGAATCAACGACCGGTCGAGAAAAAAAACGACGGAACACTACCGCTGAGCAACACAATCCATCAAGTGAGATCCAAACCACACAACACAGTTGTGCGTGAGAGTGTGATTTCGAAAACATCAATCCAGCACAATGGGCCACACACCTATACTCTTTTACTCAGAACTGCTGCTAGAACAGTCCGGATGTGAATCGGAGTGGTCAGCGTGATCTGAAGCTAACTCCTCCTGGTTAGTGTCGTCTTGGCCGGCTTCTGATCTGAAACACCTTCGGCATTTGCGGAAGTTCCCTGAGATGCTAGACAATCTAAAAAAGGATGAGAATGCGTATGGCCACCCGCATCTAGTCTTCCAAGTGGCAGGCCTGTTGGCACGCTCGTCAGCGTCACCTTGGTGAACTATCACTGACCCCCGTCGGTGCAGGTATACTGTATCCTGCTCTACCAGAGATCCTTTCAAAATTGACAATTCACCCTTGACTGCCTCAAGTTCCTGCCGGATCTTGCTGGGCTCGTCTGAACCGAGAATCTCTGCCCCAACCGCAAGGCATGAAGCCGACACCTGCTGGTCAGCACACCGGAGAGCTGTTGCTGGGTCGACAGCTGGCTCGGCATTCAGCAGCCGAGGTGCCAGTGAGGGAAGTGTCTGTAATGGAGCCAACTGTATGTAGCGCTCAACCGAGTGGCTGGACCACCTTCCCAGAAGCTGGATCTGAGGAACCGTTGCTCCAGCACGGGACAGCATCTGGGCCCCACTAACCCTCATTACATGCCCGTGAAAGCGCTGAACAGGTTGTCCAGCTTCATCATGTCGAACGGTAGAAATGTTGGCCGAGGCAATCGTGTTGCGGAACATCTCAATGGTCTGGGATTTCGTCAACACTTCACCAGACGATGTCGGCACCAAAGGAAATTGAGCTTGACGGTGGTTTCTGGGGTGCAAAGCTAAACGCTGCAAATGGCGCAAGGCAGCATGCACCGGACACAGAGGTTGACTCCTCACCCGACAAGCGCACTTCAGAGACCTGATGGTCAAGCTACCCACCTGGTCGGTCTTATCGAGTGGGATCAGCATGTTGACGACAGAACCAGTAATGTACAAATGCGAATGACAGGCACCAGCTACTTCAATCTCCCGTAGCATGAACCAGGACGCCAGCAGGCAGACGTCGCGGCTGTGAGAAACATTGGTCACGTCAAAGGGCTCATGCGATGCGGGGATCGACAGCTGCGTCAGCGAGTGAACATCAAAGGAGTCCTTGAGCTGAGATGGCCCCATGCCTCGTGTAATTGAACGATCAAAGTCTCGGGCAACTTGTTTCAAGTACGGGTCAACTACCGCCAAACGGCGCTGTTGGTGACCGAAAATGGTGTGAAAGTACAAAGAAGACGATCTGTAGCCTCCCGCTTTCAGGGAAGCTGCGAAGCACCGGAGAGAATCATAGCTGATTGGGAAGTCTGTCACTGCCCAAGCCTTGCAAATTTCTTGGTACGTGCGCACTCTTGAGTCAGCTGCAGCCGCTGTGGTTGGTGCCAAAATAGATTCGTCCAAGGCTGCCAAGGCTTGCTGACGATGGCTGGGGCCGGCCGCCTGCAGGGCCAGCTGCATAGATGCCCTCTTCTTGGGGCGGCTTACAGGAAGGTCCCACCGCCTTCGAGCCGGTTGGTCACCCACTGCATTGGAGACAGTCCCACGGATAAGGAGCTCTAACTGCCATTGGCTGACGCCCTTAGTCAAGAAGTGGCCGCTTTGGCTGACCACATCATCAGGGGACCGAACACCATGTCGAAGCAATACCGGCGCAAGTTGTTGCAGGCCGGTCTCCCGTAACAAGTCCCACAAGGGGGCTAAGGATCTACGTTCCTGGGCCATCACATCTCTCGGAAAATCATGCAGGGCGATGAGCCCACATGGTGTGACTGCAATGCATTGAAAACAACCTCAGTTGACCGTCGGGAAACACAGAAAACCACAAGTGCAAAATTGAAACAAATTAGCGAGGGTGTACGCCAGTGGACTCCTCGCGAGAAGCGGGGAAGTGGGGAAACAAGTCAAAAGCAATCAAAGCAGACGCAAAATGAGCAGCTCATCGTTAAAACAAAAGTTGTCAAATACTGAAGCGTCGACACTGCAAAATGACATGCAAAACTGCTGTTAATCCAAAAAGAGAATATTGAATGATACTCTATACTTGCAAACGCCGAGCGAGTCAATCGTCCTCAAAACGACATGAACTGCACAACGCGGACATACCTGCGCGCCGCCTATACAGGGCACTTTTGTAGTTCCTCTCTCGGCCCCATCGTCAGACGGGAGCGCCGAGACATTGCCAGCTCGTGGTCAATGCCCAGCTCAATTGATGAGTTGCCAAGCCAAAGTAAAACTCATGACTTGTAAAGACCTAGTGGGTTGTGAGTTTGGTCCTTGTGGCCTCTGCTTTGTTTCTGCGACCCGCATAAACTCAAAGCCGGTCGAATCAGCGTACTCAGCAAAATGATGCAAATTAACTCGAGTGAGGGTGGTGAACAACCCTAGCCCCAAAAAGCCAAAAGAATTGACCCCCCCAAAAAAAAAAACATATATCTGCAGGCTTTCCTGTTCAATGCGGTCAAACGTGCGTGAGCACGGCCATCAGCGCAACCATCGCCAGGGCGCAGCAGCAAGATTTGTTCGAGCTCTCCCAGCGCAACCCTTGTCAGGCACGGCAACGAGATTTGTCTGTGCACTCCCAGCGCAACCGTTGCCAGGCACGGCAACGAGATTTGCTCGAGCACTCCCAGCGCAACCATTGCGAGTCACGGCAACGATATTTGTTCGTCCTAGCGCTACCATTGCGAGGCACGGCAACGAGATTTGTTCGAGTTCTCCACAGCGCAACCATTG